CCCCCCCCATCTCCGTAACCTCCTCCAGTCCCTACACTCCCTCCCTATCTCTGTAACCTCCTCCAGCCCCTACATCCCTCCCTATCCCTGTAACCGCCTCCAGCCCCTACACCCCCTCCCTATCTCTGTCACCTCCTCCATCATCTACACCCCTCCCTATCTCTGTAACTTCCTCCAGCCCCTATACCCCTCCCTATCCCTGTAACCTTCTGCAGCTATACAAACTTTATATTTCTGTACATATTTGTTCTCTTGCACTTTCCTGGCTGTAGTTTTCTCCACCATTGGTAGCTGCGTTTTTAGCTCCATGGGCATTGGTTCTGGAAATCCCCCTCGACCTTCTTTGCTATCTCCCACCAGCACAGTTCCTTTAAGATGCTGCTTAAACTGAGTATCTTTGACAAAGCATGTGGTACCTTGTCCTTTTATCTCTGTGCCTCCATGATTCTGTCTATTTGTGCTCCTCTGAAGCACACTCTGAGAGATTTTATTTTGCCATGGGTGCTATATAAATGCACATTATTGGGTGAGGTGTAAGTGACTCGTTCCCCAGTGTGGAGAAAAGGAGAGGAATAAAAGAAATCTTTCATTTTGAAATGGTTGAGGAGCGTCTGGGTTGACAGAATGTTACCTCAGGCAGCTTTTGATTTCGATACAGCTGAACGTCTAACAGAGAAATGAAGGTGAATTGAATCTCAAATTGTGAAACTCTGGTGAACACAATCAAAAGAAAGTGATTTGCCTCCAGAAAGAATGAACAGGGAAGTTTTTTTTTAAATGTGATATTCCCAGGATATTCTTGGGTTTACGGGGAAGAAAACCGGCTTTGTCTAATTTATCGTCTGATATGGAGGGGGAGGTTTGCTGCAGGGCAGTTATTATCAAAAATGAAGGTGTCTCGGACAAGTCTGATACTGGAAAAAAATGCAATGAATCTTTGAAAGAAACCATGTTGATGTTGTTTGCCACTGAGAGAGATGGTTGAGACTGTAGGGGGATTGTCTTCCAATTTCCGTACAGTTTTAAATAAGCAGCTGTTTGTTTCTGCAGGGACCGCATGGAGCAGCTGGGCCTGAAGGAAGACAAGGAGAAAAAGGAGCAAAGGTACACCATTACATTCCTATTGGCTACATTCAGACTGATTGACACTGGAGCAGGGCACTGAGTATACTTTTCAAACAGGAATATAGAAGAAAAAACGTCTTCATTCAATACATTTCAAATAAGCCAGTGCTGTCTAGTGAATGGGGACAATGATAATTTTTATCTCATAAAAATTAGTGTTGTTAGTGCATTAGGATTGAAGCTCATCGCCAACAGTAAAGCAGCTCACTTGATTGGCACCACATCCACAAACATTCGCTCCCTCCACCACCAACACTCAGTAGCAGCAGTGTGTACTATCTACAAGATGCACTGCAGAAATTCACCAAAGATCCTCAGACAGCACCTTCCAAACCCACAACCACTTCCATCTAGAACGACAAGGACATCAGACATATGGGAACACCACCCCCTACAAGATCCCCTCTGAGTCACTCACCAACCTGACTTGGAAATATATCGCCGTTCCTTCACTGTCACTGGGTCAAATTTCTGTGAATTTCTGCAGTGCATTTTGTAGATGGTACACACTGCTGCTACTGAGCGTCGGTGGTGGAGGGAGTGGATGTTTGTGGATGTGGTACCAATCAAACGGCTGCTTTGTCCTGGATGGTGTTTTGTTATTGAATATTGTTGGGGCTGCACATATCCAGGCAAGTGGAGAGTGTTCCATTACACTCCTGACTTGTGCCTTGTAGATGGTGGACAGGCTTTGGGGAGTCAGGAGATGTCATAACTCCCTGAGAGAGTGCACTGGAAATAAACCCCACAAATCCCAGTGTCATCATTAATGTGAACATTTTGATGAGACCACTGAATTGTGCAATTTTACCCAACCATCTGATTGTGATGAAATGAATATGTATGAGGGTTTTAATCATAAAACAAGAAAATCACTATTTATTTTAATGAAAGTTCTTTTACCAATGGCAAGAAAGAAATATGAATTGCTCACTTATAACTTTTACTTAAATTCCTGTACACATACAAAAACAACACGCAGAGAGCGTGGGGAGAAAAAATTTGTCAGAGAAGCCTAGGCCTGGCCCCAATTTGGGTCAAAGCTGATGGAGTTGTTTCGGATTCTTTGCGAATGATCCGAGATTGTGGATACACCGATCCTCGCTGGCTGAGACCTTTGCCTTTTCAGTGCCTCTGAGGTGGTTTCCCCTTTCCCCTTTACCCTTTCAGGAAATGATGATTCAGAACAGCTACCATCAGAGTTTCTGTTACTTTGTCACCCAGGAGGGAGAGAAAAAGATTTTCATGCTGTCTCTCTCTTTCTTGTCTAGAAAGGTTTGTTGTATTGTCCAGACACAAAGCTGGAGCCACTTGCTCAAGAACTAGTCAAGAAGTTGTTATTATCTTGAATCCTCCTGAGCCCACACAACTGCTCCTTGTAGAAAAAAAAACAATTGGAAAACTGTCTCTGGGCAAAATAGACCTAAGCATGCACACACAGTGCCAATGTGTCTGATACTGTCCCCCACTAATTGAATCAGGCAACGTTATAAATTTAACTCACTATCAGTTCCTGTAACTTGTTTTAAAACCAGAAATAACTTCATAGATGGGCTCCTTGGTTTAAAGCAGTGTCTGTTCTCATATTTTAGTCCACAGTTCAAGGGATAAAAGGACGGGTCACCGGACCCGAAACGTTAACTCTGTTTTCTCCTCCACAGATGCTGCCAGACCTGCTGAGCTTTTCCAGCAACTTTGTTTTTGTTCAAGGAATAAAAGTGTTCTTTACAGGTGGTAAGCAACTTGCTGCAGTATCCCTAACCTCTGACCTGCCCTTGTGTGCACAATATTTATGTGACTAGTCCAGGGCAGTTTCTGGTCAATGCTAACCCCCCGAGGATGTTGATATTGGGGGATTCATTGATAGTAACACAGCTGGTTGATAGTAACACAGCTGGTTGACAGGAGCCATGGTTAGATTCTCTCTTGTTGGATATGGTCAGTGCCGGATAGTTGTGTGTCAGCCCAAACCAATATGTTATCCAGGTCTTGGTGTATTTGGAAATGGACTGATTCATTGATTGGCCAGCTTGGATTAGTTCTGCTTTTTGTGTACACCTGGGCAATTTTCCACATTGTTGGGTAGATGTAGTGTTGTAACTGTACTGGAACAGCTTGGCTAGGGGAGCAGCAGGAACACAACTCTTCAGTACTATTGCCAGAATGTTGTCAGGGCCCATAGCCTTTGCAGTATCCAGTGTCTCCAACTGCTTCTTGATATCAGGAGGAGTGAATCAAATTGGCAGAAGACTGGTATCTGTAATGCTGGAGACCTCCCAGATCCCAGAGAATGTGTCTGATTGGTTATCACCCAGTGAATATCAATAGTCAATAGGCTTTATCTGGTTTTCTGACAGTCAGGAGCGAATGGGATTGATCTGGTTATTCCCTAGTCAGGGTCAGGAGCTAATGGGATTGATCTGGTTATTCCCT